AGGTTCTGATAACATTTGGGGGGGGGGGAAGGGAAGAAAAGGAGCCCTTTTTGACGCAAGAGTTATTCTAGGGGATGGAGTTTGCCCAAATGCAGGAATAGGAAAGTTGTTTGAGTAGTTTCTCAGTGAGAAACTGCATTTTTGGGAACAAGCTCCTTGTGGGATTTAGGCATACTAGAAATTGGAAACTACTAATCTACTGCAATGAAAAACAAGATATTCAAATTAAAATAGTCCTGAATATAAAATTCATTTTATCTTTCAGATGTCTCTATGGCTTCCTCCCTCCTTCAGGTTTCTAATCCACTGTCACCTTCTCTGAGAAGCACACCATCCCCCATCACCCTGGATAAAATAAAATAGTACACATGTCACACACACGTGCACGCATGCACACACACACACACACACACACATACACTCTATCCCTTATCTTGTTTTGTTTTTCTTCATACTTCTAGAAACTTGATTCACTGTGTGTCTCCAGCAACTAGAAGAACTCCTGGCACATAAGAGATGCCAGATACATATTTGTTAAATGAATGAATGTTTAAGATAATGATAATCACTGGAAGGCGTGATCTACTTTCCTCATTCAGGATCACTGTGTTTACAAAATGCAACACGGGCCATCTCTGGGAAGTGAGATTACGGGCTTTTTAAAATTTTAACATATTTTTCCTTAATTTTTTTTACAATGAACATGTATTATTTATGTAACACAGAAAGAATGGTTTTTTTAAAGAAAACATTTAAAAATGTTATGTATATATGCTGTTCATATGTCTGAATGGATCTTTGTACTTCCTGTCATAATACAACTAACCGTGCCCTAAAGAAAACAAAAAATAACTCACCTTGGGGATCACCATAATGACACCACAGAGCAGTGCACCTGAGATAAGGGAGAACACCAGAACTTTTCTTCTCCCTATACTGTCCATCCCCAAGCACATGAAGATGTAGGCAGGAATTTCCACTGCACCTGTCATTGAGCAAAAGGGCTCTCTATAAGTCATGGCAACCAACTGCACAAGGGGACCTCTCCTTCTAACCCACCACCCAAAAGGAACGGTTAGCCCTCTCCCCACTTCCAGGAGCCCCCAAGAACACCCATTGACTGCCTGAAAGGCGGCAAGACCTAACCCTTTTAAATCCCCTGGAGTGAGGAGGATGTTTCCTGTGAAGGGCACTGATGCTCACACAATCCACCTGGCACTTATCACCTGTCCCAGGGATCCTGCCCCCTACCAGGCTGTCAGCTCCCCAGTACACAGCATGGTGTCCAGAGGACAGACCTGTCGGATGAATAAATAAGTAAATTCATAGATGACATTGATAAGTTCTGCTCTTTGGTTTCTCGTGCTTGGCAGAACTAGGAAAAATTCTATATTAGTAACTTCAAATTTAGGAACTAAGTAGAAAATTCAGTGTCGGCTAGGTACACAAACTAATGAAAATGTGTGATGGGTTTCAAACCTAAAAGTAAACATTGAAAACTCTAACACAAGGGGCGCCAGGGTGGCTCAGTCAGTTAAGCCTCTAACTCTTGCTTTCAGCTCATATCATGATCTCAGGGTTCATGGGATAGAGCCCTGCATGGGGCTTTGTGCTGATCGCTGGGAGCCTGGAGCCTGCTTCAGATTCTGTGTCTCCTTCTCTCTCTGCCCCTCCCCTGCTTGCGCTCTGTCTCTGTCTCTCTCTCTCTCTCAAATATAAAATAAAACATTAAAAAATATTTAAAAATCTAACACAAGGGGCACCTGGGTGGCTGAGGCGGTTAAGCATCCAACTCTTGATTTCAGCTCAGGTCATGATCCCAGGGTTTGTGGGATCAAGCCCCGCATGGGGCTGTGTGCTGACAGTGGGCAACCTGTTTGGGATTCTCTCTCTGCCTCTCCCCTGCTCGTGCTCGCTCTTTCTCAAACCAAATAAATTAACTTGAAGAAAAAAAAAATCCCCTATAGAACAAAAACTTCCTCTGGCCTTTTCTTACTGCCCCACAGCAAAAGTAAAGAGCTGGATCTAGTCCATAACTGACTTAAAAGCTCTTCTCTTGCAAAACCAAAGTTTGCATCGGAGATCCAGAGCCAAAAAGCTATGTATCTACCAGCCACAATGAAACAGGGAGCAAGCTTGACCCAGCTGCACAAACCCCACAACCGCCCTTAGGAAACTGCCATCTTTTCGCAGCCCAGATCTTCCATGTAATTCAGTCTTCAAGTTCCTTCCTCCCTCTGCAGCTCGCCTAAGCTCGGGACACAACCGGGCCACCACCTCTTAGGAGCGACCTGCACTTGTCCTTGCGACTACAGAACACCACAAACACCTGGAGAGGCAGGTGTGCATCTATCTGTACATCTCCCACACGTCTTCTGAACACGTCACAGGGGTAGATAACATATTTTCGGAGTGAATGGTCTTAGTAGTACATTAGAAACTAAACTCAGTTGCCGCTGCTCAAAAACAGTGGCTCAGGCAAAGGCAAAAAATAAGCCGCCTTTGAGAGCCGGTCTCTCCGTTTCACTGAAATGGAAAACAGACACCTCTGGAGGAAATGCCTCCCTTCCACAGACTCTGGACCCTGTGATAAAGTCCATGCTTTCAGGCCGGATCAGTTTGTACATCTGTTACTCTACTCTTTTTTTTTTTTTTCCAAGACTTTATCAAGCACTTTTCAAGGTCAAATAAGAGACAACTATCCACAAAAGAGCCGCATGGGGGTAGCCCTGGGTTAGTGTCCCCACTTTACAACGGAGATTAACTGCTTTGAGCGGAAGAGTAAGTGACAGCTCAGGGACTAGAAGCAAGGTCTTCAGGAGCCAAGACTCCTCTCCTGCAGCCTCCCTCCCCCACTGCCCCCCTCCCTGCCTGACTCCTGGAGTCTAGCAACGCTTGGGCAGCAACTGTGAAATGGCTGAAGAGCATTTAAAGTACCCTACACTGGTTTTCCTTGAGTTCTCACTTCAGGATACTGATACTACATCTAATTTTGACAGTGTCTGGGATATAAATGGCACAAGCAGCGAGGCCCAAGCGTCACGGGATTAGGACAATCTGCCATTACTTTCCTCACTCTATAATATATAATCTCTCTAATCACTCAGGCCCAATTCCGCTCCTATCCCCGGATGTCTTGAAGCTACTGAAGCATTTATCACCCACAACTTGATCTGAAATGCCCACCAGCCCCAGCCCATCTCCGGAGATAAAAACTCGTTCAAAAATTTCCCAGTGTAGGAATTTCAACTAGAAGCACCTGTCAGCAAGAGGACTTCTGGGAAGGGTGATGACAGGAAAAATCCAAGACAGTAGAGAATATAAAACCATGTATATTTATCTTAGAGACATTTTTATATTTAGGGGATGTCCCAGTTTCTTGAGAATTTATATCTGCATTACAATTAAGAAACTATATCGTAACGATCTAAAACTCCAGCTTGCCAAAAGCGTCCCTATGTCACACCCTGCCCCACTTGGTTCTCCTGCCATTTGCTGCCCTGTCCTAGGAATTCTGTGTCATTTCTCAAACCGGCACATAGAATGGGTTTGAAATCAAGCCGGACTCTGCAAACTTGTTGGCTTGCCCAAAAAGAGAAAAAAAAGGGTTTTTTTTTCTTTTCTTAAAACGACTTCTCTCATAATTCCCGCTGAGCTCTAATAAACAAACACAGAAGTGTCATCAGAGCACTTTAATGAGAAGGGATGATATCTAGGTGTGAAAATGTAAAAGCAAGCTTTTCTGAGGGTAATATCAAATGCAGGCAGCCTATGTGAAAATAACCAGGAGTTAAAGCTAGACAGACAAATATAGGTTTCTCATATTTCTCTCATGTTTGGTCTGAATTTGGTTGACCCTAGGAGTCATGCTTCAAGATGTCACAGCAAAATCTGGATCCACTTTAACCCGCTATACTAAAATGAAAGAAGCATGACAACGAAATTATAGTTGCATTTAAGTGATTTTAGTGCCTGAAATGCCTAAATTAAGGACTTTTGAAGGTAGAAAGACATCAGAAGATCTCTAAGCCATATTAAGTTTTAAAAGGAAAACAAATTACAAAAAAGAATAAGCAGTGAATGATCTCTTTATCTGCACAAATGTCTGGAAATGCACAGAAAGAGATCTAAAAGGGTACAAGCCAGACGTAATAGATGTTACCTCTCAAAGACAGTTCTGAGGGGATGGGCTTCCAGGAAGGAAGCAAGCAAGGAGCAGAAGCAGGGAAAGAAGAAGGGACTAAATTCTTCTGACTGTTTGCATTATTTTGAAAGAAAATATACACTTGTGTTCCAGTATATAAACCCTAAAAGAGACCATAGTAATAAGGTTGGCAGTATTGTTCTTGGTAGAGAACGGACAATGAAAACGCACTAAAAACATGGTAGAAATGTCACTTCATTGCTACACTTACATATAATTTAACTACTTACCCATGAGGAAGAGGTTTAAATATTCATTGCCTCCTAAGTTAACAGAATTCAAGGAGAAGAAGTAGAATCCCAAACACCCAGTGAACCAAATCAGCCAAATTGTAAGGGTCCTTGTTCCAACATTCCAGTCATAAAATAGATCTAACAGGTTGTGCTTCTTAACTTCAAGGGGTTCATTACCAACGGGACCATTTAGATCCAGTGACAACAGTTCTGACAGCTTACAGGAGCGTGCCCTATTCCACTTGGCAATTGTATCAACTACTTTTTGTGCTTCTTCACATCTTCCCTCTGAGAGAAGCCAAAAAGGTGTCTCTGGGAGTATCCAACAGCACAGGACAAAGGGGATAGTCACTGTGGAGAGGACCATCTGATAGATCCACCAGGTCCTGACAAAGTAGCCTGTCAAAGCCACCACCATTGTTCCAACTGCAAAAAAGGAATGCATCTGGATGCATGCCCACGTCCGAGACTTCATGCCAATAAATTCCGTCACATAGACAAACACCACCACGAGATAGCCACTTCCAGACTGAAAAACAAAGCAGGGAGGGTGGTCCAGATTTAAGGTCATATTTATAACTGCTAAGGGGTCTGATCTCTCTGTAAATCACACATAGGCAAGAAAGAAAATGACAAAAATTGTTTTCTGAAAGCCATACCACATTTATAAAACGGTGTTTCATCCAATCCATCCTTCTTCTTCAAATGGGTTTTTTCATTCTTCCCCCACCCTTGCTTCCCCAAATGGCCAAACTTGAGAGGTTAAGTATGAGATAAACAAGTGGATCTGTACAATACATGTTAGACCCTACCTCCTGTTTCATGTAAGTATTCCTCTATGGTGTGAATTTATTTCCCAGTTAATGTAAATGTGAGTGTGCATACCAATTTACCTATATACAAGAGGCCCTTATTATTAAATCCAAAATTGTTAAATGGGGACAAAAAATTATGGCAACTGATGGGAAGAAAAAGATTTGACTGAAACTTTATTTTAACAGGCAACAAAAGAAAAGAGTAAGCAAACTGGACTTCATGAAAATTAAAAACATCTGTGCATCAAAGGACGCTACCGACAGAGTGAAAAGGCAATGTATGGAATGACGTATTTGCAAATTATATATCTGACAAGAAATTAATACCCAGAATATATAGAAGACTCCTAAAACTCAACAGCAAAACAAACAATCCAATTCAAAATGAGCAAAGGATATGAATTGTTCCAAAAATATATATGAATGGCCAATAAGCACATGAAAAGATGCTCAACATCACTAACCACTAGGGAAATGCAAATCAAAATCACAATGAGATACCACCCCGTAACCATCAGGATGGTTACTATAAAAAAAAACAAAAAAACAAAAAAACAAAAACAGAACAGAAAATAACAAGTGTTGACAAAGATATGGAGAAATCAGAACCCTTGTGCACTTTTTGGTGAGAATGTAAAATGATACAGCTGCTGTGGGAAACAGCATGGGGATTCCCCCCCAAAAACTAAAAATAGATTACCATATGATCCAGCAGCCCTACCTTGGATACATGCCCAAAATAACTGGAAGCAACATCTCAAAGAAATATGTGTACACCCATGTTTGTAACAGCATTATTCACAATGGCTAAAATGTAGAAGCAAGCCAAGCATCCATCGACAGATGAATAGATAAGCAAAATGTGGTATATACAATAGAATATCATTCAGCCTCAAAAAGGAAGGAAATTCTGACACAGGCTACAACATGCATGAACTTTAAGGACATTATATTAAGTAAAATAAGCCAATCACAAAAAGATAAAATACTGTATGATTCCACTTATATAAGGTACCTAGTATAGTCGAAATCATGTAGATTTCATGGATGTAGAATGGTGGTCGCCAGGGGCTGGGTGGAAGAGGAAATGACTTACTGTTGAATGGGTATAAGAGTTTCAATTTTTGCAAAATGGAAAGAGTTCTGGAGATGGATAGTGGTTTTGATTGTGCCACAACATGAATATACTTAATATGACCCTAAATGTATACCTAAAAATGATTAAGATAGGAAATTTTATGTTATGTGCACTGTTGGTGGGAATGGGAAACTACAATTTTAAAAATCAGGGAAAATTATTTTGAAATTAAGCCTATCTTTATCAAAAATTAGACTATAATAATATTATGTGATCATTCTTGGAGTAAACAAAGAACAAATCAAATGATGGATTTTTTTTTTGTGGGAGGCATGACGAAAGGGTTAGAATTTTACCTACAGGATTATTTCACATTTGACTTTTATAACACAAATCATAAAGTTAATTTTTGCAAAATTATTCGAAAGCCAAAGGCATCTCCTAATCCTTTGATATTCAAATCATACTCTTTTGAAGGCTCATCATGTCATTATCCTGTGGACGTCAATTTCTTCATAAGTTAACTTGTCTATCTCAGCCACATCCCAATTGGCCAAGGGATTTGGGTAGGATTCAGTTTTCCCCCATTGCTTTCAAAGACATTTTGTAATCAAACATCCTTTGTAAGACCTGCAATTTCACCTTGCATCAGAGAGTCACAAAGAGGCTAACTAACCTACAAGCAATTTCCTGTGACAGAGAGGATGACAATAGTAGTAAGTAGGGGTGTGCTTAGTGGGGCCTCCGCATTAAAGTTCAGTTTAATATTTTTGTGACAACAGCCTTCATTTCTCCATACAGCCTTATAATTGCAACACTCAGACAATGAACCCTGATAATGAGGACTCCCACATCCAAGAATCTTGTTGTTTGGTAAATGTTTGCTGCTGTTACAGTACCCAAACAAAGATTGTGATAATTGTAAAATACTATAAATTTCTCCATTAAGTTAAGCAGTAACATCAGTCCATGACAAGTTTTTTTTTTCCATATTAATTCTTGAGTCCACTCCCACTTCCTATTGGTTACTTCTGTCATTGGGTTCAGACAATCTGTACACAACTGCCTATATTATCCCCAAAGACTGCTCGGATCCCTTCACACCTGTCACCTCCGCTGGTAACACTCTGTTCTTCACATCTACCCTGACCCTATACCCACAGAGCAGCCAGAATGGTCACTTCACCACACCTGAACCCCTTCAGGAGATTCTCACAGCCCTTAAGAAGTCAAGCAAACTCTTGATCACCCTCTAAGCCTCTGCCTAATCATCTCCCTCCCCTTCAGCCTCATCAAGGTATTTCACCTCCTCTCTACTCTCCAGACGTCTGGACCTTTCATTCCTTCTCAACTTAGGGCCTTCTCACTTGCTGTGTCTACCTGGAACATTCTTCTCTTACCTGTCCCTCAGAACTAAAAAGCCCTGACTCTCCAGACTCTCCACTGCTCCCCCTGCCCCACCCCAACTGAAACCACTCCATTGTCGAGCCTCCATTGTCAACGTTGTATTTTTGAAGATGGCCCATCAGTGTCTTGCCTTCCCACCACACTGTAGGGTTACTGAAATGGCCTGGTCTGCTTACTTAGCATTACATTCTGTGGGCAGATCAATAAATGTGGTGAGTAAACTGGTCTGTCTGCATCTTCCCTACTCAGAATTCAACCACAACAACATTTCGTGTGAAAATCAAAGACAAGAGCCGCAGAAACTTAAGGTCACATTTTACAAATGTATTCAATGAGTGGCTTGTTTTCTCAGCTCTGAAAACAAACACTTTATTTGCAAGACTGAAATAGCTATTTTCAGAACGTCCTCCAAAAGAGGACCTTCACCTTCTCCCATACCTGTGCCTCTGGAACCATCATTCCCACCAAAAGGCCTCTTATCAAATCTCATCAGTTACAGGGCCATTTCCTCTTACTCTGCCCTCAGTGGAGACAGACTGCTGTTGTTACCTTTTGTATTAAACACTCTTTACGTTCCTAAATATATATATAATTACTTTTTTTAAAGGTGCCACACCTCCCATTCTCCTAAATGTTTCTCTTTTTATGCATCGTCCCTACTCTTGGCCATCTGTGTGGCTTCCTAGGAACTCTTTCCAGCCATCAGTGAAGACACCGAAACTGAACACAGCACCTTGCTCTGTGAGGGGCTGCAGTGACCTCTTCTGAGACCAAAGTCCTTGGCTTCTCGCTGGACCCTTGGCTCATATACCCTGGTGAGAGGGGATGCACCCCCACCTCTGTGTTCAGCAAGGCCACATGTTCCTCTCAAAGACGGTAACTTCACACCATTATCCTTGACCAGTGACCTCCAAATAGAGTCGCTGCTGCTGTCATTTGGCAGCTGGGAACCTGTCTGGAAGCCTCACCAAGTGTGGGGACGCTTCCTCACTGGCTGGTCCACTTCCTATAATAGTCGCTGCCAGAAGGAAGGCCTGTTTCGTGACAGCTGCCATACTGTGGAAGTTTTCTTTAATCTCGTTGAATCCTGATCACAACCAGTTATCAATACCAGTGAAGCAGGTATTATTTTCTACAGTTTATAGATTAGCAACTACGGCTCAAAGAGGACAACATGTTTGCCCAAATAAGACAAAGCGGATATTCAAACTACACGTCCCTGTTCCTCATAACAGAAAAGCCAAATGCCTCTGGTTTTCATTTCTACTGTGCATTACACAAACGACTTTGTTTACACCTTAAATGTCTGTTTGGCCCATGTGTGCAGGCCCTGACCAGGCCCATAAAATTGCTCAGAAATAAAATAATGCCTTAGTAGTCATGGAATGTGGGTCATGTGCCAGGCATGGAGTCAAACAAAAAGGTTCTGCCTAGTAAGCAACCATTTTTCATTTTAATGAGTTTCATTCAAACACAGAGCACTACTATTCTGCAGAAAGACTTCTCAGTGGAATGAACAAAGATCAGCCCCGGATCTCTCTCACCACATTCTAAAGGACTCACACTCAGAGAGAGTAAGGTTTAATATGAAAATACTGCAGTAGAATTAGAGGTTTAAGAAAAGCGCCCCCCACAACTCACCATAGCGAGAAGAAAGCGTGCGATCATGAAGCTGTAATAATCGAATGAGAACGCCGCTGCAAGGCCAAATAAAAATATGCCAGTGCTTGTGGCCCACAAGACAAATCGTCTTCCTATCCTGAAAAATAAGAAGCACACAGCAGAAGCAGCAAGGTATGGTTATCAGAGCTTAAACATTCACTCCAGTTCATGAAAGTGAGCGTGATCTATGTGTTCAATAGCTTCTGTATTGATTGTTGTCATCCATTCATTCATTTGGGGGAAACCACGAGTTAACGCAGGATTTCTTCAAGAGGCCAGTCTTCAGTGGGGAGGCCTCTACCTAAGCCGCTCATATACATACATGATCACCCTGGGTGATGCCCAGAGGACCTCCTAACCCAGGATTGGCGAGGGAGAGTGGGGAGGATGTGTCCTTTCGCTCAGAGGACTTCTGCTCTCGGATCTGTCGGATCATCTTCCGTGTCAGGCTGGCTGTGCCCACAGGGGTAAGTCAGCTCTTGCCAGGCCCCTCTAAAAACAGAGCTCTTGCCACATTCTGCTCCTAAGAATAAGGTGCTTACCTGCCCTATTATTTTCATAATTGGGAGGGGCATTTCTTTGTCTAAAAAGCAAACAAATCATATTCCCGACAGGTTTTTAAAAATTGAGGTATACTTCACATAAAATCCAATCTTTTAAAGTATATAATTCAGTGGCTTTTAGTATGTTCAAAAAGTTGAGCAACTCTCATTACTAATTCCAGGACATTTTCATCACTCCAAAAAGAAACTCTGCACCCAGGAACCATCATTCTGCCCTCTCTGCTCCCTCCAGTCCCTGACAACCACCAACCTACTTTCTTTCTCTGCAGAGTTGCCTGTTCTGGACATTTTACATTAACGGAGTCATACAATAGGTGACCTGCTGTGTTCAGCTGCTCTTACTTAGCATTGTGTCCTCAAGTTTCGTCTGTGATGTAGCATGTCTCAGTACTTCGTTCCTTTTTGTGTCTAAATAATCCTTTATGGCTGTATCACATTTTGTTTATCTATTCGTCAGCTGATGGACATTTGGGACTGTTTCCACTTTTTGGCAATTGGGTGTAATGCTGCCATGACCGTTTGTGAGCAAGATTTTGTGTGAACTTGTTTTCCCTTGGGTGTATACCTAAGAGTGGAGTTTCTGGATCATATGACAACTCTTTGTTTAACATTTGAGGAAGTGCCAAACTGTTTTCCAAAGTGGCTGCCCTATTTTTACAGTCCCACCAACAATGTATAAGGGGACCAATTTCCCCACATCCTCAACAACACTTGTCTATTATTGTCTGTCTTTTTTTTTTTTTAAGTGAGAGAGAGAGAGAATGCGGGTGAGCAGGGGAGAGGAGCAGTGGGGAGAAAGTGAGAAAGATAGATAGAGAGAGAGAGAGAGAGAGAGAGAGAATATCCTAAGCAGGCTCCACATTGTGGAGCCTGATTCGGGACTTGATCCCACAACCCTGGGATCATGACCTGAGCTGAAATCAAGAGTCGGACACTCAACTGACTGAGACACCCAGGTGCCCCATTGTCTTTTTGATTACAGCCATCCTAGTGCGTGTGCAAAGATATCGCATCGTGGTTTTGATTTACATTTTCCTTAATGATTAATGATGTTGAGCATTTTTATATGTGCTTATTGGCCATTTGCATATACTCTTTAAAGAAACATCTGTTGGGGCGCCTGGTGGCTCAGTCGGTTGAGCATTCAACTTCGGCTCAGGTCATGATCTCGTGGTCTGTGAGTTCGAGCCCCTCATCGGGTTCTGTGCTGACAGCTCAGAGCCTGGAGCCTGCTTCGGATTCTGTGTCTCCCTCTCTCTCTGCCCCTCCCCCGCTCATACTCTGTCTCTCTCTGTCTCAAAAATAAATAAAAACATTAAATTAAAAAAAAAGAAATATCTATCCAAATCCTTTGCCCATTCTTAAACTGGGTTATTTGTCTTTTTATTGTTGAGTTGTAAGAGTTCTTTATATCTTTGGAATACTGGACTCCTATTAGATACATGATTTACAAATATTTTCTCCCTGACAGATAATTTTAAGGCAAAAGAATATAGTCCTAAGATTCCAACCAACACGTTTGCCTGGTAGAACAGAGGATATGTAAGCAAATAAAAACTGTCCTCTGTACACGCTCAGCCTTCTCTGCTCCCCCCACACACTAGTAGGGATGGTTGGTCCTACACATGCATGTGCTTCGATCCCATCTGAGCCCTGAATGCCGTTTCAAACCTTTCACCTGTCCCCAGTCAACTTCCTCGACCACCCACAATGTCTCCACCACCCATCTCCTGCAGAGAACAGAGACCATCAAAGAGAAAGCCCCACAACCTCCTATTCTGCCCACTTGTCAACACAACCTGAATCTGTGTTCAGCTTTCTCTTCTTCTCTCCTCTCCAGGGACACACACACTTTTCTCTCCAAACACCATTTTGCAATCTTTGAATTGGATCATGCCTCTTCCCACCTCCTCTGAGAACTTATTCTAACAATTACTTTTTTTTCCCTCTATGTTTCTCTCTCCTCTGACTCTTCCCTTTCAGTTTAAGTCTTTTCCAACCAAAGACAAGAACTGCTGGATCCCATCACTCCTTCAGCCTCATTGCACCTTGCATTTCCTCCACTGATGGCATCTCTGAAAGGAATATCTACTTCCTCAACTCCTACATTTCCTTAGCCATGACCACCAGGTTGCAACTGGCTTTTCTGAGATTGCTCTCCAGTCACCAGGGACCTCCAGGTTGCCTCTCTCAGTCCTTATTTGCTTACCTTCTCTAGTGCCACTGGCCACACCCACTCCTGAGGGACCGCTCTCCATCAGCTTGTAGAACCCCACTCTCCAGGTTTGGCTCATATCACCCTGGTGGCCTACCTGTCTCCATGCTGGCATTTCCTAAAGTCCACCAAATTATGTCAGTTTCGAAATGCCTTCTCAGGCGCCTGGGTGGCTCAGTCATTAAGCATCTGACTTCAGCTCAGATCATGATTCAGTCTGGACTGGGTGAGCTCGTGCCCCGCTTCAGGTGAGCACGAGCCCCGCTTCGGGTGAACCCTGCTTCGGATGGGCCCTGCTTCTCTCTCTCTCTCTCCTCCTCTGCCCCTCCTGGGCTTTCTTCTCTCTCTCTGCCCCTTGCTCATTTGTGCTCTCTTTCTCTCTCTCTCTCAAAATACATACATACATACATACATACCTCCTCAATATGTGTCCATCCTTCCCTCTCTGCCCCTCCTGCTTTCATTCAGACCTTCACCATTTTCTACAGCCCTCATCCTCAGGGCCTCCCACCCAGTCCTCCTAACAACACACCAGTGTACTCCCCACACTGCCCAGAAATAAAACAATCCCAGATGCGGTTTTGCATCACTTGGTTTATCCATCCTATGCTTCTGCCAAACTGACCTCCTCACAGTTCCCTGAATGTGCCAGGCTCTCTCAAGACATGAAGTTGTTCCTTCTCCCTTAGAAAGCCTTCCCCATTGTGTGTTTAAAAGCCAGGTCAAGGGGCACCTGGGTCGCTCAGTCAGTTAAGCGGCCGACTTCGGCTCAGGTCATGATCTCTCGGTCCGTGAGTTCGAGTCCCACGTCAGGCTCTGTGCTGACAGCTCAGAGCCTGGAGCCTGTTTCAGATTCTGTGTCTCCCTCTCTCTGACCCTCCCCCATTCATGCTCTGTCTCTCTCTGTCTCAAAAATAAATAAACGTTAAAAAAAAAAAAAAAAAAAAAAAAAAAAAAAAGCCAGGTCAAAGGTGCAGCCTTTTCTGACCATCCTCTGGGGTCTCGTGGCAGAAAGGAAGAGACAATACAATATAGTAGTTAGGTACCCGGGCCTGGGTTCAAATCCCAGCTCTGCTGCTTTACTTTCCAGGTTGACCTTCTGTCCTTCCTTTTCCGCACTGGTATTTAAAATAGGGCCAATGATGTTTACCTCACAGACTTTTTTAAATAATTACATGAGATAATACACAAGACATTTAAAATAGCTCATAGTGAATGGTCCATAAAAGTGAGCTATTTTTTTTTTCATTATTTTAGAGAGAGAGAGAGAGCAAGTAGGACAGAGAGACAGAGAGAATCCCAACCAGGCAGCACAGAGCCCAAGGTGGAGCTCAACCCCACCACCCCAGGATCATGACCTGAGCCAAACCAAGAGTCAGATGCTCAACTCTTGTGGTTTTGATTCACATTTAGTGCTGTTGAGCATCTTTCCATGTGTCTGTTGGCCATCTGCCTGTCTTCTCTGGGAAAATATCTATGCATATCTTCTGTGCATTTTTTAATCAGATTGGAGGGTTTTTTCTGGTGTTGAGTTGCCTAAGTTCTTTATACCCTTTGGATATTATTCCCTCATTGGATATATCATTAGCAAATATCTTCTTCCTTTTGTTGATGGTTTCCTTTGTTGCACAAAAGCTCTTTATTTTAGTGTAGTCCTCATAGTTTATTTTTGCTTTTGTTTCCCTTGCCTGAGGAGACATTTCTAGAAAAATGTTGCTTAGGCCAATGTCAATGAGATTACTGTCAATGTGTTCTTCCAGGAGTTTTATGGTTTTAGGTCTCATATTCAGGTTTTTAATCCATTTTGAGTTTACTTTTGTGTACAATGTAAGAAAATGGTCCAGTTCCATTCTTGTCCAGTATTCCCAGCACGATTTATTGAATAGATTGTCTTTTACCCATTTTAGATTCTTGCCTCCTTTGTTATAGATTAATTGGCCATATAAGTGTGACTTTATTTCTGGGCTCTGTAATGGCATTTTTTAATTTTTATATTTGTTACTAGTAGATATAAACATAATTAATTTATATATATTGATAACCTATCCAGCAACATCATTAAATGCTCATTAATTCCAATAAGTCTTCTGCTGGATTTTCTTCATACAGAATTGTAATGGCTAAAAATAATGACTTTTTTGTCTTCTTTCTTTCCATTTATGCCTTCCCCCTCCCCCCACCCCTGCTTCTCCCTCTCTCTTTTATTTCTCTGTTTTGCTTTACAGTAATAGGATATCCAGTATAATACTAAGCAGAAGCAGTGTTTCGTACATCCTTATGTATTCCTGATTCCAAGGGAAAGCTTTCAATATTTCACAGTTAAGATGTTCATGGTAGATCTCTTTGTAGACACCTGTAATTGGCTTAAGGACATTCTTCCACTTTTAGTTTTTATCATGAATGGATTTTGAAATTTATCAAATGTTTTTCCTGTATTCATTAAGTGGATAATATGAATTTTGTCTTCTAATCTATTAATGTGGTAAATTCCACTAATTATTTTTGTTTAATGTTTATTTATGAGAGAGAGACAGAGAGAGCATGCAAGCAGGGGATGGGCAAAGAGAGAGGGAGAGAGAGAATCCCAAGCAGGACACCGAGCTTGATCCCACAAACCGTGAGATCATGACCTGAGTGGAAATCAAGAGTCGGAGGCTTAACCGACTAAGCCACCTAGGCGTCCCTGGTAAGTTTCCAATATTAAGTATATTTCAGACCTTATCCCTCTGCCTTCATGAATTTTAATTTCTCATATTTTCCAACTGTCTCTCTGATGTTTACTATTGATAATTTTTTCTGAGCTCTTATCAATTTTACTCATTCTTTCTCTAGTTATATGTAATAGGTTGTTAAAACTGCCCAGGAATTTGTCACTTATTATGGTTTTTTTTCTAGATGTTCTAGGTAGTTATTCTTCAATTTTATGTCATTTTAAAATACAATTTCCAGGGACACCTGGCTGGTTTAGGCAGTGGAACATGCAACTCTTGATCTTGGGGTCATGAGTTTGAGCTCCATGTTGGGCAAAGAGCTTACTTAAATAAATAAATAAATAAATAAATAAATAAATAAATAAAATACAGAGCCCATGTCAGGCTCTGTGCTGACAGTGTAGAGCCTACTTAGGATTCTCTCTCTCCTCTCTCTCACTGCCCCTCTCCCACTCGTGTGTGCATGCTCGCTCTCTAAATAAATAAATATTTAAAAAACAAAAATAAAATACAATTTCCAGATTTTTACTAATAATTTCAGGCTTGTCTTCTATTTGTTTAACAGCAGTAAGCATAGTGAATTTTTATCTGTGCCTGACAATTCCAGTATTTCAATTCTTCTTTGTGCAGAAGGTCTGCTTTGGGGGCCTATTGCTTCTACTGACTCTCACTCATGGTGCCTTTCAATCATGTTTTTAGCTTTGACGGGCCTAATTTCCACATTTCAGGAAGATGGTTATGGAACAGAAGATTCTTTTTTAATGCTTTTTTTAAAGTTTATTTATTTATTTATTTATTTTGAGAGAGAGAGAGAGAGAGAGAGAGAGAGAGATAACCAGCAGGGGAGGGGCAGAGAGAGAAGGGGACAGAGGATCTGAACCAGGCTCTGTGCTATCAGCAGAGAACCCAATGTGGGGCTCGAATCTGCAAACTGCAAGATCATGATCTAAGCTGAAGTCAGACACTTAACTGACTGAGCCACCCAGGTGCCCTGGAATAGAAGATTCTTTTTTTAAATTTTTTTTTTAATGTTTATTTATTTTTGACAGAGAGAGAGAAAGACAGAGCATGAATGGGGGAGGGGCAGAGAGAGAGGGAGACAGAATCTGAAGCAGGTTCCAGGCTCTGTGCTGATAGCACAGAGCCTAACACAGATCATGACCTGAGCTGAAGTCGGATGCTCAATCGACTGAGCCACCCAGGTGCCCCTGGAATAGAAGATTCTTAAACATAGTAACATAACTTCATCCACCAAATAATAACTAGACTCCACTTCTGCCTTAATTTCATTATTCAAATGCCACCTCCTGGGATAGGGTTAGGGGTGGGAAGACCTAGGCACTCCTCCCTTTAGGTTTCCATAGATTTTGCCTCCATTTGTTCTCACTTCTCCTATGGCCCTGGCCACAACAAAGCCCTATCATTTTATTTTGGACATCTTTGTCAGTCCCATTAGACTAGCACATCCCAAGGGTGGGATTTGGACCTAAGCTGTTGCCCTCAGGTTCCCAGGGCCCAGCATATGGCTGTAAAACTCACAACTATGGGGACCAGAGAAGTTCATTTCTGTGCTTTAGCACAGGTACTTTAAGTACAGTCCTTGTCCACACAGAGATGAATTTTGCCTTATTTAAGGGCTATGTATTCATTTTAATGTGTGTGTGTGTTTTTTTTAAGAAAATATGGCTGGTGTATCAAACCCACAATTTCATAGATATTATTGCTTAGAACCAGGCTACACTTCTTAAAAAACAAGTTTATTTTTAGAAAATTAGATAGATAGATAGATAGATACAGATATATATATGTTGATATTCAAATAGTAACCAGTATTTATTGAGTGGTTATATGTCCAAGGTACTTTTTTTACTATTTTTGCAATAACCCTTTGAAGTGAGTGCTATTATTTTCATCACCAGCTTATAGACTACTTTCTGAAACACAGGTCATGCAATTTGCCTCGGGCTCATGGCTAATAAGTGGTAGAACCAGGGTCTGAACCCAGGCAGACTGTCTTCAAAACCCATCCTCTAACACTATGGTTTTTTGTGTGCCTCTAAATAACAGATGAGCAAAGAGGCAGGTATTTAGATAGGAGGTATGAAAATGACTAAAGCTTTGAACATAATTCCTTGACCTTTAAGAAAACCAGATAGGAAAATGAACCCTGATGCAACAAACTTAAATATTTCATTTTACCTGTCAGAAAGGTAGCCAAAAATCATCGCTCCCAGCAGGACTCCCACCATAAACACAGGCTGGATCACCTTTGCGAACCATTCTCGGTTACAGACCAGATCCCACTGAGTCACCACGGTGCTGTCCCACTTGCTCTTGTCATAGACATAGCCATCCATGCAAGGAAAGCTACTCTTACGGCCACTGTAATCATAGTTCAAACCAGATTTGTCATCCCTCCGGAATCTGTGACAACTTGTGAGCTCCCAGACCTCACCGTTCTGTAGCTGCACTATAATGTGATCTTCGTGGCCTGTGAAAAACAGAATCCAGATGTCCTCCAACCTCCAACTAGAGATATTGTGGAAAAGAACCCGACTCACGTTGCCTGGGGGCCTGCAGGTATGGTAGGGGGACACTGTCATGAACACAGAAGCCAAGTAGTGGATACCACAAGAGATGTTCTGGAAAGCACATATAAAATAGAGGAATATCTGAAATCTGCAAAGAGAAGAAAAGCAAGTTATTATATCCAACCTACAGGCTAAAAAAGACTATAAGCAAATATGAAGGGTGTTCATCATGGTTAGCTTAATATATACATATAGATGAATAAATACAGAAATAATTATAGATATGTAATATATATATATACATAACATGTTAGTATATACACATAGCTCTGTCTGGTAGGAGGGCCTAGAAGCAATGACACTGAGACAGGGAAACTAAAGGGAATGCTTTTTTTGCTCCTTTTACTGTTTCTATTCTTGCTAGGACCTATACCCCCACCTTACACATGCCTTATAGAACAGGTAATATATGTCCTCCTTGTAAAGGCCAGGGAGTTAATGATTTCTTTGGAGTCTTCCAGCACGGGAGATAGCATCGAGGGAGTGACCAGGTAGGGCCAAGACCACTAACTCATCAAGACACCTGGCTCCAGGTTGTAAGTCACCTATGCAGAACACCTGAACACTCGTCTTTGGTCCTGGATGCTTGAGAAGACACGTGCACCAGACCACTGTCCCCAATAAAAACCCCAGACTCCAAGCAAATATGGAGCTCAGTCTCCTTTCCTGAGTCTCCCAGATGCTCCGTCTATATCTGTTCTCTCTAGGTCTTTGATAAACTCTGTCCTCACTTCCTCTTGGCTCACATTTGATTTGTATTCTCCACGAAGCCAAGGACCCTCTTGGCTGGTCCTCAAACCCAGCCAGCCTGCATCAACATCTCAATAGCAACAAGCACACCCAGTGCCCAGATCTTGTTTTCTAAATACCATCCTTCAATAAAAGAAACCAGGAAAAATGGCTCATTTAAGACCAAGTCAGGGAAAACAAAAAACATGCCTAATGCTTTAGGTATACTTGCGGTATCAGAAAGTAAGGAAGCGCTCAAAATACAAAATGATGGGGGCATGTTAAAGGGACACAGGAACCAATCTGAAAAACCTCCCAAATGGGCAAGTTTGAAACAATTTGAGCAACAAAATAAATAGCTTGGTATATCCCAAAGTATAAAATAAATATACAAGTCTATACTGTGATGTTTAATTTTATGTCAACATGACTGGGCTGGTAAACATGATTTCTGGATGTGTCTATGAGGTTGTCTCTGGATGAGATTAGCATTTGAATCGGTAGACTGAGTGAAGAAGAGGGCCCTCATCAGTGGGCGGGCATCATCCAATCCAGGGAGGACCTGAATAAGAACAAAAGGTGGAGGCGGGGCAAATTTGATCCATCTACTCCTACTCTTAGACATTGGCATCCCTGGTTCTCAGGCTTTTGGACTCAGGCTGATACAGGGAAATTGAAGACTCCATAAAAACCTGTCTTTTGCTCCTTTTCCTGCTTCTATTCTTGCTAGCACCTGCACCCCCACTTTACACATGCCTCAGAATGCAAACAGTGTATGTCCTCCTTGTAAGGTACGAGGAGTTAATGATTTCTTCAGAATGGATAACATCTAAGGAAGGACCAGGTGAGAATGACCAATGAAGCTGTCATATGCATATTCCAGACCACCAGCACTAGACATCTCGACGCCAAGGCCCCCTGGCTCCAAGCAATAGCACTTGGGCCCTCATCTTTGTTCTGAGTCCTGGATGCCTGAGAGAACACATACACCAGGTCACGATCCTCAATAAAACCCCCCAGACCCCGAACAAATACAAGACTTCCTCCTTTCCTTTCTGAGTCTTCCAGAAGCTCTGTCTGTACCTGCAGTCTCTCTATACTTTGAATAAACTCTGCTTTCACCTCCTGCTGGCTCGAGTTTGATTTCTATCCTGTGCACAGACAAGGACCTTCCTGGCTGATCCTGTGGGACCCCTTCTGGGTCCTCGAACCCAGCCTGCCAGCATCTGAACCAGGACTTACATCATCAGCCCCCCAATTTTCAGGCCTTCAGACTTAGACCTCACAAATATGCCACCAGCTTTCCTGGATCTCCAGCCTACAGACAGCACATTGTGGGACTTGACTGTCTCCAGAACTGTGTGAACAAATTCTTACAATAAATCTCTTATCTACATCTCTATATATGTCCTATCTGTTCTGTTTTTCTAGGAGATCTTGATGAATACAGGTTTTGGTACTGAAAGTAGTTCTAAAGGAACAGAATTTTAAGAATGAGCTTTCTGAATTGGTCCTGGGGTTTCTGGAATTGGTTGTCTAATCTGATTAGATTGAAAAGCACTAATGGCTATTTCCAGCAGTAGAGAACACTGATAATCCGTGGTGTGCACTGTTTAGAGAAACACACAAAATATCTGTGTTGGACGCTCATAATCAACCACTTAGAAGAAGCAAGGGGCTAAGTGACTCTGTATTTGAAAATTTCAACCATTTTTTGAAAACTAAAGAAATGTAATGGCATTGGTTGGTTGCTCCTATTGTCGTTGGATAAATTAATGAAAGGAAACAGATGAGCTCAAGGAATTTGAATCCCCAGCTCAAGCAATGCCTAAACAACCTAAGAATTTCTAAGGTGAATCTTGAAAGAGATCCTTATCTCCTGTAGCCACAGGCCCGAAAATCAAACACAGAACCTCATCCTGGGAGCAGCTGAATGACAATGTCTAACTGGCCTCTTTGCATATGCCCCAAATCAGTGTCCAATATATGGTGCTATTTCTCAAATAGCACTCACGGGTCCAGGAATCGAGGCGTGGAAATGAGGGCTGTAGCACTCACTTTTACACCTAGCGATCCCCTAACAAAATTTTTGCTTCCTGTTCCCATAATCTTATGCTCTGCTAGCCTCAAGATCTTAGTTCCAGAGGGAAGAATACTGCCACCAGGGGACACAACAGCGATTCCACTGACCTGGAAATAAAGACTGTTGCCTGACCACTTTGGGTTCCTCAGGCATCTGAATCAAAAGGCAAAGCAGGGAGTTACAGTGTTGGCTGGGGTGAAGGATCCTCAATATCAAGGGGAAATTGACACCACGATGGAGGTAAGAAAGAGTATGTGGGCAATAAAGGAGATTCCTTAGGGTATCTCCTTAGCATTACCATGCCCTCTGAATTAGGTCAATGGGAAATTACAACAACCCAATCCAGGCAGGAATATTAATGGCCCAGACCCTTCAAGGAATAAAGGGTGGGTCACTTTATCAGGTAAAGGTCCACAGGCAACTGAGGTTCTTGCTTAAGGCAAAGGGAATAGAGAATGGGTCCTGAAAAGAAGGTAGTTATACTAAATACCACCTACAACCACATGACCAGTTATAGAAACAAGGGCTATAATTATCATGAGTATTTCTTCTCTAAAAAAAAAAAAAAGGAAGTTTATTTTTTGAGAGAGAGACAGTGTGTGTGCCAGTGGGGGAGGGGAGGACAAAGAGGGAGAAAGAATCTCAAGCAGGCTCTGCACTGTCAGCACAGAGCCCAGTGTGGGGCTCGAACCCATGACCGCAAGATCACGACCCAAGCCGATGTCAAGAGTCTGACATTTAACCAACTGAGCCACCAGGCACTGCGAGTATTTCTTCTTTATTTTGTTATGAATGCTTGTGTATATATAGACATATATTAAGCAAATATCTTTGTTTTCTTCCTTATTGTCTCCTCATACAACATAAGATGTATTGACATATAAGTACTTAAATAGTTTTACACCATAATATTTAAGTTACGGGATATCAAAAAAAGAGTAAACATCATCCAAGGACTTTATGTCCCCTTCTGGGAAAGGGATTAGTGTATTTAGTTGTATGTTGGATAGTTGTATCATGTTGGGTGGAATTAGGGCCTTGTTATTGTCTTTATTTAGAGATCAAGTTTGGTGTAAAGAGATCCATATGGGTTGCAAGTTGACAAGGGGTGAACCTATGATGGTTAATTTTATGAATCAACTTGACTGAGCCAAGGGGATTCCCAGACAGTTGGTAAAACATTATATCTGGGTGCGTCTGTGAGGGATCTCCAGACGAGACTGGCATTAGAACCTGTAAACTGAGTAAACATCATCTTCACCAATGTGGGTGGGCATCACCCAACCTGTTGAGAACCTGAAGAGAACAAAAAAGCCAAGGGAGTACTAATTCACTTTCTTTGCGTGGACTGAGACCTCCATGTTATCATGCCCTCAGACATCTCATGCCCCCGTGCTCCTGGTTCAGACTCTGCCTGGGGCTTACACCATCAACCCTGTGGTTCTCAGACCTTGGGACTGGGACTGAATTGCACCATTGGTTTTCCCAGGTCTCTGGCTTGCACACAGCACACTGTGGGACTTCTCACTTCTATAATTGTGTGAGCCAATTCCTGTAATAGATCTCCTCTTATCTACATCTATGTCTCTCTATTTATATATCCTATCAATTGTGTTTTTCTGGAGAATCCTGATAAATATACCACTTGGCATAAATAAATGGTTGAACAAACAAGTACAAAGGAGAGATGAAACTAATCTTTCTTCTAGTAGAATTCCAAGTACTATCTGCAGATATTCCCCCTCTATGGGAGATGGAGTTTCATTCCTACCCTTTACTCCTGAAGGGCAGGCTAAGACACAGTGACTCCTTTCCAAAGAATATGATAGGAAAAAAAGAGGGAGTGTCTTGATGGCTCAGTCAGTTGAGCATGGGACTCTTGATTTCAGCTCAGGTCATGATTCTGGGGTCATAGGATTAAGCCCTGTGTGGAGCTCTGAGCTGAGCGTCAGGCCTGCTTAGGATTCTCTCTCTCTTTCTCTCTCTCTCTCTCTCTCTCTCTCTCTCTCTCTTTCCTCCCCCTCTCTTCCTCTCATGCACACACACTCTCTCTCTCTCAAAACAAAAAAAAAACAAAGAAGGAAAAAGGAAAGAATAGTAACTTTACAGTGGGAGAAATCAGGCAAATCCTATCTTAACCAAATGTTGAAGGTTAATACCCCCATGATGTTATGTGGATATCATGTACCTCCTCATATGATGTGATCATCAAGCACTTCACACCTCGGCGACATCTCCCAAAAGCCATAATCCCAGTCTATCCAGGAGAAAAACAGTAAAAAAATCCCAGATTGTAGGACATTCTACAGGTTTCCAGGCCAATATGCCTAAAGACCACCAAGGTCATTAAAAACAAAACAAGGAGAGACTGAGAAACTACCACAGACCAGAGGAGACTGGAATAACATATCAACTAAATGCAGTGTCATACCCTGGATTAGATCCCGCAACAGGAAGAGAATGTGAGTGGGAAAACTGGTGAAAGCCTGGAGTTTAGTTGATAGTAATATACTAATGTCAGCTTCCTACTTTGCCAAATATGCCGTGGTGATGTAAGACGTTAACAATGGGGAAAACTGGGTGAGGGACATACAGGAACTATCTTTGCAACTTTTCTGTAAATCTAAAATGATCCAAAAATTAGTTTATTCAAAATTTAAAAATAAATGTAAAGTCTCTAAATTTACAGACTCAAACCAACAAGCAGTGACATATTCTCCGAAGTAAAAATTGTCTCACAAGGACAACTGTGCCCATAGGACGGCAGGGTAAAATATATAAAATGTGGATTTCCCCATTAATTTCAGACCCCTGGAATCAAGATAGAACAGCCCCCTTTGGGCAGGTGGTTTCAATATTCAATTTTAAAATGATCAGTTCGGACAACAAGGAACATTACTGTAAAACCGTTATAACAGGAAGTAGAAAATAGGTCCTGTCAGATCACACTGAGCCAAACTGCACTGTTGATACATACAATCTTTATCTCCCTGCCTGCTTTTCGGAGCTGCCCATCATCCTGGTCTTGGTGTGCCTTCTATCTAGAAGGCGCTTCTGACCCTCCTGTAGCTCACTTGTTCTCAAATGTTTTGTTCTCAGGAGCCTTTGTATCCTTCAAAGTGTTGAGGGTCCCAAGGGTCTTTTCTTTATGTGAGTCGTCAGTATGTATTAGAAATTAAAAAGGAGAAAAATTTTAACATTTATTCATCCACTTAAACATAACAGGAATAAGCCGTTAAAGAACATATAGCCATAGTTTTCAAAACAAAATGAAACAAAATTAGTGAGCAGCATGGTGTTGTTTTACATTTAAGATTTAGATTAATGGGGTGCCCGGGTGGCTCAGTCCATTAAGCAAGCGTCCGACTTGGCTCGGGTCATGATCTCACAGTTCGTGAGTTCGAGCCCCATGTTGGGCTCTGTTCTGACAGCTCAGAGCCTGGAACTTGCTTCGGATTCTGTGTCTCCCTCTCTCTCTTCCTCTCTCTCTCCCTCTCTCCCAAATAAATTAACATTAAAAAATGTTAAATTTAGATTAACGGAAGACAGCTAGTTTTTCATACCAGTGTCTGCATTCCATCTGATGCATTCTCACGTGTCGGCTAGCCTCTGGAAAACTCCACTGTGCCTTCGTGAGAGAGTGAGACTAAACAAGTCAACTAATGTCTCTGTGTTACTATGACAGCAGCTGGGATCTTGCAGACCCAGAGATGTGCAGGTCTCACACCGTGACAACTGCTGGCCTCACCTGTCCCTGTCGCAGCACCTCCTCTCCACGGCTCTGCTCCCTCCACGCTAACCGCCTCCATCCGGCCCCTCCTTATCCCCCACTGCCTGCTTCTCTCAGGTCCACCCTTTCTATCTGCTTCCCCTGCTCCGCCATCTCTCATTTGCTCATCTCCTCCCCCATTTCTTTCTTTCCCTTCTCTGACCACCGTATACAGCTGAAGTACCTTCTGTTATATACGTGTATTTTTTAACAAAGAGCAGGTAAATGCTTTCTATTTCTCTACCAAATCAACAGCCACCAAAGAAATCCCACAAAAGGCTGAACGACAGTCCCATAAAGGTAGGAACGGTGCTTCAATCACGTTAGTCTATCCCGTGGTGCCCAGAACGGTGTGCTGTGCAATGTATACAGAATGTCATAGAATCCCTCCGGGTAAAAGGGACAGTGCTGAGGTTAATGCATACTCAGCACCTCTGGTAAGGAGAGGTGTTCACGAGGCCAGTGTATGGGGGCACCCGGGCGGCTCAGTCAGTTAAGCGTCTGACTCTTGATTTCAGCTCAGGCCATGATCTCATGGTTCATGGGTTTGGGCCCCGTGTCAGGCTCCATGATGACAGCACAGAGCCTGCGAGGGATTCTCTCTCTTCCTCTCTTTCTGCCATTCCCCTGCGCACGCTCTCTCTAAATAAACAAATCAACTTAAAAAAAAAAAAAAAAAAGAGGCCAGTGTATAAAAAATTTTTACTGGGTTCTCCACCAGCAAAAAAATGAATGTGTGTGTGGGCACAGATGTATAAAATGAGCATATCTGGATACACGTATTCCCAGATTAAAGTGACATACATATGATGCATATGGAAATATAAAGTCATATATATTTACTTACACGTATACATTCGTGTACAAAGTAGGTGTTTTCATGGTGCTCCAAAGAATCATCTTTGCCAGCCAGAGGGGTGAACACACCCCACCTGGGACACTATCACAAAGTGGCAACGCTAAGCAAAGTCATAAAGTGGTGCCGTGAAACTGTCAAGCTGGCAACGTCCCCAAGTCCTCGGGGATGACTGCCAAGCTGGCACGTGGCCACGGTTCCTCATGTCTCATAGAAACCCACGTCGATAAAGAAGTAAAATGGAATCAATGTAACATATTGTGGCCATCAAGACACCACACGCTGGAGCTGGCCACGGTTTCAAGGCTGAACTCTGTGTTTGGCACTGGCCCCAGCAGCTAGTTCAGAAAAGAAAAACACAAAGCAAAAGGCAAGCAAGCAACAAGTGGCTTTTTTCTAGCAACAGAAAGGGAGGGAGAACACACAAATACTATTCTCAGAGTATGGGATGGGCAGCCAAGAAAAGAGCCTAGAGCGCTAAAGCCTGAGTCCTTGCAGCTAAAAGGAGCCAGCTCTGTTTTTCTAGAAAAGGCGCCCCTGCCCAAAGAAAAACTATCAGAAATCTGCCTCGGTCTATTCCATACAGAGGGGCCGGGTAGGAACAGCAGGCTGGGAAGACAAGCCTGAGTTGCTGTGACTCAATAGACCCTGAGAAGCTAAGATCACAGCTTGAAATGGTGGTGCCTGAACCCTCACCCCTGCAGGTCACTAGCCCCCATGCATGGGCTACTAGATATCCCTGGAGAGCCACAGGGTCAGGCTCTGCCCTTGGCCTGCACACACTATGCTACTTGTGAGCACCTGGTGTGGTTGGTGGGTCACCTGCACCAGGGAACAGGCTTGTGAATTCAGGAAGTGTTTCTTCCTTCCCCGGCAATTTCTCAGGAAGCACTTTCCAGCCTGCAAGGATGATGGGTAACAGGATAGAAGGATCCTGTTAGACAATTCCATCTGAGTGGTTCTGCTTCTGTCAGGCAGATTCTAGATTCTGCTGTGCCTGTTCTTGCACAGCAGAGGCTCCCCATTTCCCTCATCCAGGTTACACCTGCGGCTCGTGCTATACAGGACACCTTATTTGGCACTGTCTGGGTGGGTTACTGTGCCTATTCTACTAACACTGTATGTTGGATCACGCACGTTAGCATCTGGGTTGGTACCTAAGTAGTTTCTTCCCCTGGAATGGCTCCACCGTTGAAAAGTTCACATTCTGCTGACCGTAACCTCCCACTCTCCCCCATATCCCCGAGTCCTTCCCATTGACCCCATCCCCAGCACCATCCAGGTGCCCAGTCTTTGGATCCCACCAGCTTCTTTAGCTTATTGCCACCTTCCTGGCTTCAATTCCTTCCCCAACCAGCCTGAATCCCACAGTCAACACTAGAACTACTTACACACACACACACACACACACACACACACACACACACACACCAACAGAGCATCCACCACAGCAACCTCTGAGACTAGGATTTGTCTTCTCTATCCCACCCCTAGTGATTGTGGTTCAGGAGGTCTGAGGTAGGATCCAGAACTCTATACAAGCTTAAAACGCTTCCTAAGAGATTCTGACATGGATGAGAAACACCACCCCGGGAAATCAAAATCTTCAGTTGAATTATCTGTTGATACAAGATTTGACGTTGAAAATATTTAACAGTTGTTGTGGAGCCACTGGGACTCTCCTAAACAGCTTGTGAGGGTGTAATTTGCCACAGCCGCTTCGCACATCTGTCTGGCAGCTGACCACATGCACACTAGGCCAGAGGGATTCCTGTCCCAGGTACGTACCCAACGAAATGCATACACAAGGACCTTAAAATACATAGACGAGAGGAACTATGTGTGATAAACCCAACCTGGAGACGATATAAATGTCTGTTAACAGTGAGTGAATGAACTGTGGAATATTTGTGTCATGACATCCTGCATGCCGGTGAAAATCAACAAACTACCATGGCGCTCAATGTGGGTGACCCCCCCCCCCCCGTATATGATGTTGAACAAAAGAAGCCCAACCAAAAGTCTATGATGTTTTACTCCATTTATTTAAGTTTACACTTGATCTTAGCCAAAAGGCCGAGAAGCGATCCATTTATTTAAGTTTAGAATCAGACAAAACTAACCCGTGGCCATAGCTATGAGGACAGTGCTGGCTGGGGGAGGGGAGAGGATATTGCTTGAGAGAGGTCATGAGAAGGGGTGGTCCGGCGGTGTTCACTTTATGATGATTCATCAGGTTGTAGAGTATGGTGCGTACTTTTCTGTATACATGTAATATATCAATTTAAACGTTTTGTACCTGCAGGACCCAGAGAGCAGGAAAAGTACTCGGCAATGCCCTGCTGAGGCTTGACTGGAATGGGTACCAAGTCGTACCCAG